TGTGTTGCAAGCTCTTAGCTGTACCAGTATACATGTTCTGGTCTAGCCAGATTTGTAAGATAGAATTGGGGTCATGGTAGTGGTGGAGTGGGGTGGAGTCATTAAAGTACTAGAGGAAGGTTGTGTGTTTCATCAGTGCTATACTGTACCGTGACTAGCCGGCTCTTCTCTTCCTTGTGGTCATTCTGACATGGGGTGTTCCAATTGACTACTGTTGGGCTTTGGGTCTCCACTATGCCACGTCCCCACCATTCCCATTGATATGCTTTTTGTTTGTTTGGTTTGGGATATTTGATGCCTGATACCTGATCCCCTTGACACCTCATTATCATATAGGCTGGTATGCTTCTTCCATGTGGGCTTTGTTGCTTCTCAGCTAGATAGCTACTTGTTTATCTTCAATCGTTTAAGACCCCAGATGCATATCTTTTGATAGCCAGGCACCATCAGCTTTCTTCACATTTGTTTATGCACCCATCACAAAGTTCCATGTTACTTGCATTGAGGGCCTTGCTAGAAATTTTTAATCATCTACCTCCACATAAGTTTTTGTTTTGCAGACATTATAAACCACTGTTTAATCCAAATGTGCTTATGATTATCCGAGTTCATGACTTACAGCTGTGTGCTCCGGGTTCTATCACAGTCCTTGAGATACAGATTAACTGGAATGCTTCTTTCCCCCAGAAAACATAGAGGTGGCTATACAGTCTTTGCTGCATTCCAGCCATACTTGGCACACTTACTTTCTTGTTTCTCCACAACTTCTTCTAGTCTTTTATTCCCACAGTATGCTGGTATAATCTTTTCGTTTTGGTTATGCTTAAAAACTGCTTTGATAAGTAGTTTCTTTTCTTACCTGTATATAGTTTGCTTTAACAGTACACTATTCATGATTACAACAGATATGGTTAGGTTAAATTGTAATACCTTATTTCATCTACCGTCAGACCCATTAGAAAACTATTTGTTTTTAATTTTCTGCTTTCTTTTCTATTGAGGGTTTTCTATGATTTGTCTCGTGAGAACATTTCCTATGTTTTGTCTAGCCCAGTTGGTTGTTTTGTTTGCTAACTTACTGTTTGTGTTTTGTATAATTCCCATATATGAAATTCAGGATAGGTAGCTCTGTAGAGACAGTAAAGGGATTAATAATTACCTAGGGGTATATCAGAGGCAGACAGGGGATCAACAACGAATGCACAAATCTTAATATGATTGAACGATTAAATTGCATATGTGAAATACATGCCAATAAAACTATTTT